TGCAAATGCAGTCTGGGATCTATCGAAGTTAGAAATTTAAATTTTATTCAAAAAACTTGGATCATTAATACTTTTATATTAAGCAAACTATGGTATATTGGACAGATGTTACCACCTGAGAAACGACATTTAGAGGAATTAAAAAAAAAAGTAATGAGATATCTTTGGGGTTCTCAAATTTTTAAAGTAGATTGCAATCAACTTTATCTGGCCTATGAAAAAGGTGGTCTAGCCTTGGTTAATTTGGAGGAAAAAATGAAAGCATTATTTATCAAGCAAATTTTATTCGACTTCAATAACATGTTGAAGGATCCCGATCATTTTCTGCTGAACTGTCAATATACACATAAACTTTCTCGTAACACTACGAATTGGATAAATATTGCAAAGCAATATAAAAATATGGTTCACTTGAATACTGTTGCTCTAATATATAGTTCCTTGTTAGCTAAATAGCCTCACATTCCAAAAATTCAGGCAACATTCCCTGATTTTGATTGGGTCACTGTGTGGGAAAACTTTAGTAAAAATGTGTACAGTTCAGAAGCCAAGTCAATGCTTTTTGAAGTTTTGAATGACATCTATCCAAATAAAGAAAAGTTGTCCAAATATAATGTGAGAGGACAGACGGAAAAGAATTGCGATGTTTGTAATGCACTAGATACAAATTTACATAGAATCAAAGATTGTAATTTATCTCGTGAAATTTGGAATTGGGTTGAGGAAATAATCAGGAATCAGATGAACGTTAGACTCAAACGTGCTACTGAAATTTTTACTATACATATAGGAGAAAAATGTAAAGAGCTGAAAGCGGCTCTATGGCTAGATACTGAAGGAATTATGTACAATATGAAGCATTATAGGAACCCTTCAATCTTCGTTTTCAAAAACATGCTTAGAAGCCGAAGATGGAATCAAAGAGTCTTTTACAGTAAGGTTTTTGGAAAATTTGCCTTTGTTTTCTAGGTTAAGAATTAGTAGTAAAAATTGTTTAATTTTGTAATAAATAAAAAAAAATAATAAATAAATGTATAATAGTATCTTATTAAACATTATTTCACATGAAAATTAAGCGTCTATATACACCTTTAATACCATCGCTGTTTAAGGAAGTAATGATGTCTAGTAAACGCTGAATAATAAAAAAAATTGATCGAATAAGCTCTGTTACAACTTTTGTAAGTCGAATAAAAACTTCTCGACATACCTTATTCAACACCAAATATTTCAATGTTGTGGTTGAATAAATTCTCCAGATTTGTGTGAACAAAGCCTGAACAGAAGTTATTATTAAAAATAGTACAAGTATTCCCAACTAACATTTTCCGCTTTGTAAGCCAACTTTTCCAGCATTGTGCTGTAAAGTAGCTGAAAAGAAGCTGCAGATACAGCTACAAGCAAAAGCTAGCAAAATAGTTTTGGAGAGCGTTTACTCAACTTTCTCACAACCATTATTCAATTTGTCAGTCGCACTGAATAACATCATCCAATAACCGCTAATGTCACTTCTATATACACACACACACGAATATATTACTCATTTGATGGCTTCTACACGACCAACCACTCTTGCTGAATAACATAAACATCAAAAGTGCTTTTTCAACAACTAAACAACCTGTACTCAGCTTATAACCTGTGTTAGAGCAACTTCGGAAGCATTTTCACAGTTAACTAGGTTTATTTTTAGACGTGTGCAGTTTTACAGTTTTTACTCTGCTCTTTTATAACTAGTCGAGAAAAGTGATTCATGTGCACTATTATAAAACATCTACTCAGCGATTTTGTTGTAGAAGGGAATGTTGATTTGTTTACATAAGTTCAAACAAACGGCGCCGGTGGTGTAGTGGTAAGCGTGATTACCTCTCACCCCAGCAGGCCTGGGTTCAATACCAGTCGGCGCTGCCGGGATGTTCTGAGGCATAACATCTCTGATCACGCCTTCCTTCGGATGGGAAGTAAAGCCGTTGGTCCCCGGTTCATGAGTTGATGGGTCAATAGGTAGGGTCCAGGTGTGGGAGCTGCCTTCCTGGCACGTCGGTAGCATTGGTGCTCAGCACGGAAAACAAGATCGACGGAAAAAACAAACCATAGAAAAAAAAATACATAAGTTCAAAGTGTTGGCGTAGCACAGTTGGTAGTGTCAAGGTTTGCCAATGAGGTCGTCTCGAGTTCGATTCCAGGTTCCGGTGCAGGGTAAATAATTTGGTTATGATTTGTAACTAATTTAGATTAATTTGATTCACAGCAAAATAAACTCAATAAATTCCTTCATAAAAAAGTGTAAACAGTATTTAACCCGGCTTCAAGAGAAAGCTGTGTAGTGATTATTTGATAACCGGGAAAAGGTTGAATAAGCGCCTTTCAAGTTCACATACAACTAAACAGCAGGATAACAGCTGTATAGAAGCGTTAATGGATATGCAATAAGAGCTTCTCCCAAATCGTCCCAACAGCCATAAGTAGCTGACTAAGTTCGCCAGATTTGCTTGTATAGAGGTTGAGTAAAGGTTTCCTCATATCGTATAACGTTTGAATACAGCTTGAGGCTGTATAAATGAAATGAGTAAAGCGTTTACATTGTGAAAATTGTTAGTTGGGTTATTAAGCATGAAGTGGAATAAAATCGTCAGAAAGTCGTTTCTTTTAATAGGCAATTGTTTGTTGGGTAGTTTCCAATTGTTGGAGCTACAGAGTTGCCGTCAACTCCAATTAAGACTGAGTTCATTTGTGACGTCACGCTGCAGTACCTAATGATCTTGATGACGCCATATTGGATAACTTTGTCATACTTGTAAATCACGTAAACTCTTTTTCCGTAAGCACAAACACATCCACACAACCGAAAAGACAACATTATCAGCTCCAGTGAACATGACATGCTTTGTTTGTTAATTTTACTACCATCAAATAAACTTTAAAGTTGAAGCAATCGACGCAGCTACGTGATTTTTCACGTTGATTGGACATACATATGTTGTAGAGTGTACATGCTTAACACTTACTTTTTACGTGAATTTCCCGTAACATCAACGAACATGAAAATCACGTAATTTCATTTGACATTGGAAATGTTTTGAGTGGGATGTTCTAAGGTTTACGTGATTTTTCACGTAGCATTAACGTGAAGATTTTTTAGAGAGTAGTTCCTCTGAATGTTTTAGGATCAAGATGAGGAAGTATTTGGAAAATCTACAGCTAATCGAAGATTTCAATCAAGTTCTCTGGAATTTTTTCATGACTTCAGGTTGATCATGTATTATTCTAAAAACTTTTCAACTGTTCAAACATTTAAATGACTTCTACACTGCCTATAACCGCATATCAGTCCCATATGGATTTTCGTCAATTTTGAGATAACAACGTTATCCACTATCAATTGGCATCTACTTTCATATTATGTGATAAAACTATGGACTTTGATGATGAAAAATATGAAAACAACATCAAGTCAGCTTGTCCCATCAAGCAAAGTAATCACATATCAGTCCCATCCTGAAATTCAATCGTCCATAGCAGGGTTGCTTCCACTCACTTGCTATAAAAAATTTCAAACGGCCTCCCGCTGTTATTCTCCCAGAATCGTACGTTGATCATGAAGTATTCAAATGATCTCCAGCTAATTATAAAGTTTTATTCCGTAAAAAATTGATTCTTGTTATATTATTCATAATTAACATGTTCAATACAAAGCTTAAAATAGTAAAAATCATCACATGTCTGCTTAAAATGTAAATTGCCTTCGGAAGTCTTCTTCAAGTTCCACTATGTCTTCTAACATCTTGATTAAACAAAAAATATCGTCAAAATGTGTGCGGGAAAAATATCTTTCTGCGTGATAAAAAGAATGGTAAATGTCTTCCAAATGAAATCATGTCTTCAAATGTGGCATCTCTAGTGACGGGAATCAACCTTTTTATGAGAAGTTTACGTGTTTCAAAAAAACTAAATAAAAGTTGAGGATTAATTTACAGCCCTTAACAGATAATAAATAAAGAAATTTAAATTCGCTGCGGAGTTTATTCTGGAGAATCTGGAAAAATTCCGTTGTGGGGAACTGGGGGTACGTTCGGCCCCTAAAGCATTAAGACTAATTTAAAATAATAAAGAGCTAATTTGGTTATCTTTCCCATGAGAAATCCATGTCTAGATAGTTTTGAATAGAAATGGTGTGGTAGCAAGGTTTGAATAGGTTATTTTGTAAATTACTGTTTGTTAAAAGAAAGTGACAAAAAATGACGTACTTAAAACAGTGCGGAGTAAGACCAGCACTCTTTACCACGCTACCCTTATGGAATGTGATAAGGGCATCGTAAAAACGAAAGAGCAATGGGGAGGGACGCAAATATAAGAGTTCGCTATCTAAAAAAAAAGTGCTGAAGAGTACGACTCTGCTCATAGCTACTGATTTGTTTGTTTATGTTAATTTATGTTTACAATAATGAGTGATCAATTTGCCCTCGGCTTAATGTACCTCAGAGAAGCTAGGTCTCGAGATCTTTGAAGAATTTAAGGGTAGTTCCATACCTTCAGGGAAGTTCCGAGAACTACAGGTTAGTCCATACATTTAGGGAACTCTAAAGAACTCAAAAAAACTTCACAAAAGTCTTGAGAACTTGAAGAAAATTAAAAGATGTTTTGGTACATTTCAGGGAAGCTCCGAGAACATCAATCAAGGACAGTTTGAGAGCCACTGGATTAGAGTTTAGTTCATTAAACGATCGCTAACTAGAAAATTCAACAAATTCCTACAATTGAGGTAGTATCCATTTGATTGAAATCCACGCTAAGCGGAACTTAAAACAGTTCGACTAGAGGATTAATTCAACAAGATGCACACCCCTATTCTGTAAAAATATTTTTTGTATGAACATTTCGTTCGAAACGAAATACAGAATAGGGGTGGCAGTATTTACAATGTGAAATAATAAATATAAAGGTACAATTGGAATAAGTGTGTTAAATTTAAATTTATAGACAAAAGCACGTGTTGGAACGATGTATTCATTACCTCTTAAAATATTATTACAATATACGCTCCTATCTTTAGCACTTACTCAAATCATCGAACTATTGTGTGACACATCCGGCTTCTTTAAAACATAAATCCCGATTGATTCAGTAACATGTTATTTTCTTTTTTATCGTCGCATTTCTCTCCAACGTGGCAAAGTGAATTCCTTTTATCATAGCTTATGGCGAATGCAGCAACTTATTGAACGCCGCATACGACGATTCCAAATCAAACAGCAACTGCCGCACTTGGATTTCAGATAGTTCGTCCGAAGCCTGCATCGAGTTGAGCGTAGCTAACCAAGTAGAAACCTTCTCCTTTCCTTCGAAGTTGTCCGGAATCAGCGAAAGGCGATTCATCGTTTCCATCAAATCTCGCAGCTCCGGTTGCAAATCGTCCATGGCCCTGATCTCGAGCCTCAGCTTATCCATCAGAGTGATGAACATCGAAACGATGTCGGCAATGCACTTGCTAGTGTTACCCTTGTCGTCCCGAATCGTGATCGGGCGGTCCTCTCGGATCCGTTCCAGCGCAGCCGGGCAATCGAGGCGGAATTTCTTCACAAACGCTTCGATCGAAGGATATTCATCACCCTGTACCAGCTTGAATGCTACCTTATACTGGACCAGCAGCTTGGAACAGGCCGCAGTGTATTCCTGTGGAGTCACACAATCCCGGATGTAGGCCTTCTCAAGATTCTGCAGCGTCGAGACCAGTGCGAACAGATCTGCCATGTTGTCGTACTTTTCCCGCTCCCGGGCGTGGCGGTAGAGTTTGACTTCCTCAAACAGTTCCGGTCGATTTTCCTGCATTCTGTCACGGACCGATCTGCACCAGCGATTCCGAAGTCGGGGAAAAATTGAAACAAAGAGAATTACATTTTGCTTTGAGTGCTGGGTTGAGAGCTATTGGTTAAACTTACCGGCAGGAAAATAATTATGGAATTTTTGAAATTATATGTGCACAGTTTCAGCCCAACAATTCTAAGGATAGTAGATTTTGCAGCAGTAGAAAATGTAGAAAATTTTGATTAGGTTTGTTTACGAAATTCGATTGCCCCGAATGAATCAGCAGGAGAAACGTCAATGTCGTCAACAGCAATCAACGAGGGGTGATTCGTTATGAATGTGGAATGAAATGAAAGCTCTAGTACTGCGCTTGGGACTGCGTGATATTTAATTAAACGAACATTGAACTGCTTTACACCAAATGGGGTGGAGCCGTTTATGCCTATTGCCGTTATATAGGAGATATTTTTTTCCCTGAAAATATATAAATATTTTTTACCAATTCCTTTTTTTGATTTCTATCACTTCGAATTCCCGGGAACGTATACCGTGCTAGTACGCTGGTACTATGTGTTGCGAATGAAAGGACACAGCACAGAGAGCATGAAAATCTGACATGTTTACATCGCGGGCGATTCAAAAGCCCATCCTGTACTCGAGAACACGTTGTTTCGGTTTTGCTCTGGCTCTGGTCAATTTTTTGAATCAAACATAAAGTTTGTTTCATTGGTAATATTAACGTCGATTGTGCTTCGAAATCAAGCAGCAACAATGGCGAAATTGTTGTCGTATTATAATTTATGTCCGATCAACGATGTGCGTGAATTTCTCGGTCTGTCTCGAGATGTTGACACTGGTTGTGCGATCAACACGCTCGGCAGGAATATCATCCAGGTCGTGAAGGTGAGTTTCGAATTTCCCGGTCTACCCACGCAACATTGACAATACCCTTTGTTCCAGTTGAGCAACCAGAAACTCCAGCACAGTTGGACATCGCTGGAACGGCTGACGAGCAAGGTTATCTATGATTTCCGCTCGGAACGATACGTGGGTGTTTTCGGCAATCGCCAAGTGCGTTGTTGGAACAGAGATCAGACCGATATCAACAAAGTGAAAAAGGTGAAGTTCTTTCGGAATATTTTGGAGCTCTTCACTGTGGATAATGGACAAGCACTCGTGCTTTACGATGATGGAACGTGCGAATCGCTTGAGAGTGCCGTCAATACCAGGAACGAAGATCGGAAGGCTCCGGAAAACATCGTGAAGAAGCCAAATGTTGATCCAGCCAAGGAGACGATCTTGGATGTTAAAGTCATTACGCTGGACAACGGAGACATTATGTTGGCTTATTTCGTAAAGGAACTGGAAGAAGAGTCGGTTCTTTTGAACTACTCGCTTCTTGAAAAAGAAAGTTTGAAATCGATGAAAGGTTTTCATAAAATCAAGCTGGAACGCATGGAACAGAAGGTGCAATTGGTTGGACAATGCATCGTCGATGGAAGTGGAGGTCCTTCGCTGATTACTATCTGTATGTAATTTTAAGCCTACCTTTTACAATCAAATCTAATCCAATTTATACTTTTCGGACAGGGTCGGACAAACGTATCTTCTCTAAGCCGCTCACTTTCGACGAGGAGGGTTCGCAGAAATCCATCGGAAATTTCATTTCCATCCTGAACATGATCAACGCCAGCCAACCGCTGTCGATGGTTGGCATCAGCAAGGACTACGTTGCCATCTATGCCAGTAATTTGAACCAGGAGGGTGCCACATTGCTTCTATACAACGTCCAATTCAAGGTTGTACAGGCGAAGCAATTCTTCAAAGTGTACTTTAATAATTCCCGGTTCTGGTTGAGCGAAAATCACATTCTGCTGGCATTCGGACAAACGTTGGCCGTGGCTCCGTTCAAAATTAGCAAGGAGCAACTCTCGGACATGGTTGGAACGCAGCGTAGCTTTGAACTGAGTGCTTATGTTGACAACGAAAGCATCAACGAGGATGGCGACTACAACGAAGGTTACGCCTTCGCCGGGAACCTGGATACCGTGGATGAGGAATTTGAAGAGGAGGAATTGGAACCCGAACCCGAAATTATGTTCAAAACCTTCGAAAGTGTGGAAAAGTTCGAAGAATCGTTGCAAAAAGCATACAAAAGCAACTTGCAGGTGGATATCGTGCGGGATGATACACTGCCGGATGATACCATTCAAATGCGATTGATGGCAAATGCAGATCGAACGATTGGGCCGTTGGTTTTCACGGAAAAGTTTGAAATATTCGCCAGTGAACTGGAGAAGCATGGCTTCTGCGAGATGGAGATAACGGATAAGATAATTCCGCTTATGATTCAGGCGAACGCTTCACTGGACATTGGAAAGTGCCTGAAACGATACAGTACCATTTCCGAGCGGGCACTAGTGTCTGTCCTAAAGTATGCCCTATCGTGTCAAGATCAAAACCAAATCCGCACGGAGATTGCAGATGTTGACCAACTGCGCAAAAAGCACCCGACTGGTTCCCTTCCTGTTTCCAACCCGTCCGAACAGCTACAAAACTTGGATATTCTTGAGAGCCAAGACCTTCCCGATCGCTCGAACAACGACCTGCTGAACATTATCCTTTCATGTACCTTCAATCGCAAAGCTATCCTTCCTCTAATTAGGGACGAAATCGATTTGAATGCCGTACTTCTTCTCTTGGACCATCTGATGTACCTCCTAACGGATCCCGTTGCCAGGCTCAACGAAATTCCTGCCAATTGCGACAGTTTCGATAGCGACGAAAAAGTCATCGAATGGGTCACGCTGTTGATTGACTCGCACTATCAGCAGATTATTTTGTCCAGAGATGTCGAAATCCGGGAGAAGTTGGTCAACTGGATGAATGTGGTGAAGCAACACAGCGACAGTTTGAAGCAGCTGAAATCGTTTGCCCCAACCATTCTGCGATTGGTCGAGAAGAAGGGCGGGGAGCGTGAGAAGCGGGTCAATAAGTGGTACAGCGTTGAAACGATAAAGCTGTATTGATGTTGAGGTTCGGAGGAAATAGATGGACAGGTCAGTAAGTCGCTGAATCAAAGTGTCAGGCAAGTCATTATTGAATCCGAACGGTCCTTGCCGTATTTTATGAGCTTATTGGTTAAACACTTTTTTTTTTAACTCGCAATTTAAATTTCACCCGATTTGGAAATCAAGTTGCAGAGATGACCAAATGCTGTCGTGGAAGTGCAAGGCTGATAGCAGGTCACTTTTAGTGGCTAGGCACTATTTTCAAATCGTCACTAAAAAGTCACTTTTTTCATCAAAATGTCACTAAAGTCACTATTTCTTAAAATTTAGTCACAAAAGTTACTTTTTTAGATCAATGTTGAGAGTAAATAATTTGCCTTTAAAACTCACATCAGATCATAGCTTGATTTGGTAATAAATTTGTGTAAGAAAGATTAATTAAAAATCCGTGTGTAAAATCTGACAAGAAGAGTTACGAAGAAACTGAATCGTTAACTGTTCAATTGATGTTGACGGAATCACTAATATTTTGTTTTTTTTTTTTGCTTTTTTTTTAAATCCGTGATATGAAACATTTAAGTCCGTAATCTTTTAAATAAAACCAGATTATTTTTTTACTTTCCTGTGATTTCGAAAATGTCATATTTCTTCGCAAATTTTCTAAGGTTTCGATATTCTGGTGTTTTAACTTCATGACCTTGAAGGTTTTCCAGATGTCGAAAATTGGTCTAGCAAATTTTTCAAGCCCTCAATTTTTTTTCCAATCATTGACAGTTTTACTTGTGCATCGGTACGTATCACATCGATATCGTTCGCTCTCTGAAGCAAGTCAATACTTACTTACTTAAGGGTCCTGTGCACCACCAGCGCTGCAAAGGGCCAACGTGAAAGACTTCCATTCTGGGCGGCTGCTCGCTTTTGCCTTGACCTGGGCCCAGGTCAGATTCCTATCGACTTGCTTAATTTCCTTATTGAGGCTCCGCCGCCATGAGCCCCTGGGTCTGCCTCTGCTGCGATGTCCTGCCGGATTCCAATCCAGCGCTTGCTTGCAGATTTCGTTTCCGCCCGTCAAAGTGTGTGGCCGACCCACCTCCACTTTCGTTCTCGAATTTCTGTTGCTATCGGCTTCTGATGACATCGACGATGGAGCTCGGCATTCGAGATCCAGTTGTGAGGCCATCAGGCACGAATTATATACCGCAGGCATCGGTTGATGAAGACCTGCAGCTTTTGAGTGTTCTCCGCTGATACACGCCACGTCTCGCTGGCGTATAACAACACAGATTTCACGTTCGAGTTGAAAATTCGGATTTTGGTGCGTTGACTTATCTGGTTGGATCTCCATACGTTTCGTTAACTCGCAAAGGCAGTCCTAGCCTTCTTGATTCGTGCACCTATGTCGCTCTTGGTCCCGCCGTCCGACGCTATTTGGCTGCCAAGATATTGGAAACTTTCGACCTTCTCCACTGCTTGCCCCGCTACCGTAAAGTTGGAAGGGTTGCCCGTGTTGATATCCAACGATTTGGTCTTGTTAACGTTGATGGTGAGACCCGCCGCAGAGGAGCGTTCGGCTAGGTCATTGAGCTTACTGTGCATATCAGAGCGCCGTTCTGCTAGTAGAGCAACATCATCAGCCAAATCGAAGTCGTTGAGATGCCCCACGGTTCGGTACACGGTCAATTGCACCTACCATGATCTCGTCGATTACGATGAGAAACAGTAGCGGTGATAGTATACATCCTTGTCTCACACCAGCGAGTACCCGGATAGGGTCGGACAAGGCTCCGTTATGCAGAACTCTGCACGTGAAAGCCTCATACTGCGCTTCGATGAGGTTGACGATTTTATCCGGGACTCCCTTGCGTCTCAGGGCGCCCCACAGATTTTCGTGATTGAGACGGTCGAAAGCTTTTTCGTAGTCAATGAATACCAAATAAAGGGACTCTTGGAATTCATTGACCTGCTCCAGGATGATGCGGAGCGACAATATGGTCCGCACAAGATCTTCCGGCACGGAATCCTGCCTGCTGCCGTCGGAGAGTCGCGTCGATCTTCTCCTGTATCCAATTCAGGCTTTGCACAGAACTTTGAGAACATGACACAGTAACATGATGCCTCGCCAATTGTCACACACAGTCAGATCCCCCTTCTTTGGGACCTTAACTAAGATGGCCTGCATCCAGTCGGCCGGAAAAGTCGCGGTGTCCCAGATATTACAGAATAGTTGATGCAACATTTGTGCGGATAACATGGGGTCAGCTTTGAGCATCTCTGCTGATATGCGATCGACCCATGGAGCCTTGTTGGATTTCATGCTTCAGATAGCTGCTTCAATCTCCTGCAGTGATGGGGCCTCGGAATTGACGCGAGTGATGCGCCGCACCCTAGGCGGATCATGCCGAGATGTTGATGGCTGGTTGGCCGTCGAAACTTGAAGAAGTTGTTCGAAGTGCTCAAACCAGCGTTTCAGCTGGTCAGTGGGGTCGGTAAGCAATTGTCCAGTCGTGTCCTTCACTGGCATCCTCGGGTTCATCCTTGCTCCACTCAGGCGTCGTGAGATATCGTAGAGGAGGCGTATATCGCCAGTGTTTGCAGCTTTCTCCCCTTCGTCGGGCAGGGAGTTCACCCATGCTCGCTTGTCCCGTCTGCAAGAGCGCTTGACTTCCTTCTCTAGAGCCGAGTACCGTTGACGGGCTTCGTTCTTGGCTCCTCTGGTTCTCGCCCGCTCTATCGCGGCGGTTTGTCTTAAGAAACAGCGCAGAGAAACCCGTGAAAGTGTACGTTCGTCGTTTCGCTTTCGCATTATTAAAGTGAATAAATCGAACTGTTTGTTGCTAAGATGGTCCACAAATGATGTATGGGTTGCTCTTAAGGAGACGTGATTGATAATTCTCCCTAATATCCTGGTAAATACCCTTTGACTTAAGCAACATTAGGTGGCCACCGAACGACGTATAATAACTTTTGACTCAAAAACCAGTATTTTTTAGCATGAAAGCTAGCGATCTGCTTTGTATGATTAAAACGCTTAACATTGTTATCACTATGAGATTATATGTGTTTAATTGGAAATAGGAATAACTTTCCGGTCATCAATAGAAAATTTTATTTTTCTTACTATTACTTTCGACATAATGAAAATTTGCTCTTGAATTAATATATTTCACGGTGTAATTAATATTTTTGCGTTACAAGTTATCTCTATGGTACAAGAATGACGTACAGGGATCGGTCTATGTTGAAGATGTTGAAAAACTGTCTCAAAGAATAAATTCTATCTCGGTTTTTTTTTTTTAACTATACTTCTCTTCCATTTTTACCAGTTGAGTATTTCCAGTTTCTCAAGTTTGAAAACGAAAGCTGAACTGATTGGAAATTTAAAAAATAAATCCTACAACAGAGTGCTTATTTACACGGAGAGCATATGGCTCAGAAACTCTATTTTTTTTATAGACGCCCACAACATATCATCAAGGGTTTAATTTTTCGATGCTTCCGCGATTTCCTGTTTGGCTTTTTCGTTGTACTCCTTGTGCCAGTCGAGATTCATTTTCTGCACGCTGTCGCCCCTTTCCTGAGCTCTCTTTCCGCTAATGACCATGATGATGCATCCGATGACGGTTGCCAGCATCATGTAGTTTGCCATCTTGATGCGCACCTGGTTGCGGCAACGTTCCATCACATCTTGGCTAAAAGTCAAATTGGATTTTTTATCATTATCATTTCACATTCTGTCAAATAACAAACTCACTTGATGTACGCCGGGATATCATCGACGGACTTGTACTTCTTGGTAAATACCAGTAGTCGTTTTTCAAAATTATTGGGTTTATGCGTCCGGGAGCTGACGTTGCTAGCGCTATGAGCATCTTGGGCAGCTGGCTTCGGGGGTTGCTTAGGTTCGATGGAGCTGGACGAGCAGAAGGCACTCATCTGCTGTTGGGTACGTGCAACTAATCCGGTTCTCAGCTGACGACCGCTGATGGCACAGATACGTGCCAAGCGGCATGCACCGATGAAACTCATAGCTGCGCTGGGTGCTACGTGCGCCAACGATCATGAAACGGAGGGGAAGGGTACAGGTAGAGTTAATTAATCCCGCGATCATCGTTGTGCATTGCTGCGTGCAATCGTCAATGTATGAGTGAGTAATGAACGTAGTGAAATAGATGAAAGCGGTCAATATCAATATTTGCAAAGCTAGTCGCCGGCTTTTCATTGATCATGCTCAAATTTGCACGTACGTATATCAGCTGTTTCATGGTACAGATTTCAAAACCGGGTATGCTTAACGAAACAAACACTGTTCATACATTAAACAAATTTACTTTGATGATAGGATCAGTTACATTGTATGCTATTGCCTTAACCTAAACATAATACATGGGATCTCCCGGATCTCAAGCTCCTACTTGCATTACATTTGAACACGCCTTTAGTAAAATTATTAATCCGGCGAGTATTACGTGTCTATCCATATACCACGGGGAGAATGTTGGGGGAGAAGCGGGTTCGCAAATGTTCACCGTCAATACATTAAAGAAAAATGAATAATTATTATTTGATTATTATGATTATTCATGCAGGGGAAGGGTGGTATCTAAAACCTTACAAAAACGTGGAATGTTGACAAGCTCTTGTATATTTGAACCATTTAACTGATTAACTGATACATTATCATAACAATGTACTTATCAGCTATAGGGGATTCCAATCAATTGCAACAGGATATCCGTGAATGAGTAAGCCCTTCACATACATTGGTCGCTCCATTGCAGTTTTATTGCCTAGCTGGCAAGCAAAATACATAACGTAAATACATATAACAAAAGTAATAAAATCACGAAAAAGAGGAACAGCGAAATTCACTGAAGCAAATTTGCCAGTCATCGTTGCTGATCGTTTTTGGAGATGGCTTTGCTGTTTCACGTCCCGTGCAAGTTCGTATAGGTCACCTATACGTAGTCGTGGTTGATAATTATTTTAAAATTTAAATGTCATAATTATTATCACATTTCTAGATGAACATTTCAAAATGTCCTTTCCCTGTTGTATTCGACCTTTTCAACACTAGATAAGAATCTTCTTATCTTTGGTAAAGGGCGCGAAATCTGTTTGCATAGCAGTGGTTATCAAAAGAGAAAGTCGATGAAGAAAATCGATCAAAGCGGATAGGACCTTTTGAAATGTTCATCGAGATTTAGTATCAATCACTTACTAACGATGATGATACTGTTTGATGCTTGATCTATGTAGATTTTCCGAAGCAAAATGTTGATACACCTATAACGTTCATGATAGCAAACTAGAATGAATTACCTACACATTAATCAATCATAACGAATTTTGCACAACTGTAACTCGGGGTAAACAAGACTACTTGTAGACTAATCATTTCTCTTAATCTGGGGGATAAACGCATTCAACAGAAAATAGTAAACTATATCCTACTTAAAAAAGATGCCTTCCTCTTTTGCCCCAAGCTGCCCTAAATCACAGGTTATTACACAACAAGATCTGCGACAAACTCGAGCAGTGATCCACACATTACTCACTTCAATTATTTCGGTATTTGTAGCTTTATCACAATATTGCTCCCAACTTGCTGATCACTTTGCGTATGCTCGCGGACTATAATATTAAACTCAATCTGACCGCGAGGAAGATTTTCTGTCCACCGTACTAATCTGTCGTTCGTGCGTGAATCTACCGATATGATTCGTTGAATTTTATGTATATACCTTTTTGATTGACGAGAAAGGGAGAAAATGGAAGAGTGATAAATAGCTGGTCAATGTCAAATGAGCTAAGAACATGCGAAAGAGAGGATGTAATCAAAACATACTACATGTAGTGACGCCCAGAAGGAATGGGGGTTCATCGGGTGCCCGGTTGAAGCCGTAGTAGTAGAATAACATGCGAAACCCGGCACGGCGTGTTCATAGAGAAACTTTTTTTAATAACATAATAAGCGTCCCCTACACTAACGAGGCTCGGTAGTTCAGTGTGGTTACTGTTTTTACTTACTGACTAGAAGATCTGGAGATCAATACCAGGTCCGTCCCGTTCCTCAAATTGGTCACTATGCCTAATTCTATCCTAAAGTCTAGTATCAACCGGTGAAAATTAACGATTTTAAATTAGCTCACAATGGACTAGCCTATCGGTCCTAAGGTCCTAAGTACATCGTACCCCACATTGAAGTACAACACAATGTTTGTTTTGATTCGCTAACACTGTTTGAGAGATAACATGAGGGGTTCGTGGATTTTCCTATGTTTCGAGAGGTACATCGATTAGCTTGGGACAGAAAAGAGTACCAGAGCTGAGCCAAAAAGTTGAGCTCGTTTCTTCGGGACCATCTGGTTTTAGAGTTACCTAGACAATCTGGGTTTAGAGTATAAAATAAAATATCCACCTGCACTGTATTGTCCATTCCGACATCATTAGACCCCAACCCACTTACTTGGCCAGACTTCAGCATCAATCGATAGACAGAGCATTTTACATTCCAAGTTCCCTTTGTTTCAAATTTATCTCAAATTTCATTTTTTACCTATTGAGTGTTGATATATCACAATATAAATTGTGAAAAAAAAGAGTCGAAACTTTCGAATAGAAAGATAATTTTTATTGAACTTTTTTTTTATTTTATTTTATTCATTTTGTTTTTCGGGTCCATGGCAGACCATTGTTTTTATTAGTATCGTTGTAAGAATGCTTCAACGAGAGTACACTTCTTGACGGAACTTCCGGTGTTGCCAGTTTCTTCTCTTTCTACCTTTTCGCTGAGGCTACAACCTTGGAACTTTTTGACAATCGATCAGCACATTCGACGGTGTGGTGGAACGAAGAAGAGCTAGAAACACCAAATTTAATGTTATACATCATCCAAACAAAACATAAAAAAATATATCATAGGTTAACAATATGATCCATTCATGCCTTTTCCGTACATTGCAATGGCAACCCGAAAAATATTGCTTCGGGCACCATCCATAGGTCATGAGAAAGGTCAGCAACAATCATTCAATCGTGAGGGGCGTGAACGAAGTACTTATTACAAAAATAAAAGTCAAATTATGTTCATTAACACTCCGATCACGATTCCTCCGGTAAAATGTGTAACCGTAAAATTACAACGTTTGAAAAATCATAGGTCAGCCTTTTATAAACAAATTTTAAATCTATTGGTGCCATTTGAAACTAAATATTTTAAACATTTATCCGGCATCAACAAATTTAAAATGCATCGATAAATGGCTCAACAATAATTTTTCAAACATTGTCAATTTGCCGTTCCACATTTTACCGGAGGCATCGTGTTTGGAGTGTTAATTATATTTTTAATATTACATGCAAATTTGTCTGACGTCACTGTTGTCATCAAATCAAATAATATACTAAAATAAAAACATTTAAAAAATTATACAAATTTTCATTTGATTTACCATTCGTGATGACAAACAAATACATTAGCCACAGAAGCGCTTTCATCGTTTAAAAATTGATTCGCCAGCTAAGCGAAAGAGTGGATCATATTGTTAATATATTTGGCAACATCCAAAGGTGATACGCACAGCTCCAATGAACCAGCTATTTGTCTCAAAGTGAGCTACGTTATTTACTCGCAGCAGTTGACTGTTTTTGAATAATCTTAAACAAAAGATCCGCCTTGGAAATCCATTGTTGGAACTCGAACAAAATTTCTGTAAAAACTAGACTTAAGCGACACCAGCGATGACTTCCCCACTTAAAACCCTTATTTGACAACACGATAGCGCTGAAATTGCACAACTCACTAGACACTAAGTGCCGGTAGCGCCGAGTAGTAATTTCCAACAGAAAATGTATCGACAATAGCGCGAAATAAAAAAAAAAGAAAACTTATAGTTAGAGGAAATCAGGAGATGCTAGCGCCACGTTAAGCAAGACCGGAATTCCTAGCGGTTAAGATGTGATGATGGAGTCGTGTTTATTCGTTCCGGGTGTTGGTGCGCTTCGGTTAATTCCTTGGTAATTCCCGACTGGATACAGCTGAAAAAATATTAAGTCGGGAACTACCAAGAAATTAACCGAAGCGCACCAACACCCGGAACGAATAAACACGACTCCATCATCACATCTTAACCGCTAGGAATTCCGGTCCGGCTTCACTGGTAATTGTGAAGATTCTGATAGAGCTCAACAGCATGTCCGTTCCTGGCAAATGTACCACCAAGTCCCACATTTATGACCTCAAGCGTCCATGTCCGTTACATTTTTTTTTCAGTTGATATTGCTTCTGAAAATAAATGTCACTTCAATGAAGGAAAAAACATGCACGCCTACCTTGACCAAAAAGTCCGATTTTCACGACTTTCCCCCACTGCGCATCATCTTCCAGGCGCTACCATAGCAACAGCACTGTAACCAAATTTTCGCATGCCAAGAGTCTATATAAGTAAGACTGCTGCTAACAATCGTCAAGAGGCTTCTTAGGTAGTTTCAAAGCAGACGTGTTTTCATCGCTCTCCATCCCATTGATCAAAACCACACCATCAATCAAAATGTTTGCTAAAAATGCTAAAAATGGTCGTGATGCCGGAAAGAACCGGTCCCGTCGGAATGTAAGACCGATGACCTTACCGGCATTCATGCGTCCCGACCCTAATGGCGAGCTTGCGGCTATGTATAACCGCATCAAAGCGGCTTCTACAAAGCCCAAGCTGTCAAAGTGCCGGGACCGTTGGGAAATGCTTAAAAGACTACCGGTGACGGACGAGTATGAGAACGTCAGGTCACCGGTAGCTGACTTTATCCGCCGGCCATTTATAGCAACGAAAAGTAAACAGGTGATTGGTGAGGGTTTTGGGAGAGCAGCTCCAGAAAACCGACTTGAAACTACCCAAGATGCCTCAACTGCGGGTAATGGTAAGAATGTGTTAAATGTAGATTTTGAGGAAGTAGAATTTCAAGATTATCAGGAATTAGTAGATAGGGCTCCACTAAATTTATGTCAGGGTGTTAAATGTAATATTACCGATATAGATTCCATATTGACTGCAGGGTTGGCCGAGGTACAGTGCTGCCAGACGACGGTAGCAGTGTTCCAAGCATACGCAAAAATACAACATAACATTTTGGAACGTTTGACGTATGCACCGAGCACTGCCAATGTTTCTACACAGACGTCAACTCCCAAACTCCAGCGTTCCCAGATGAATCTGGTTTATGCTGGATTTTGGGAGCAATGTACCTCACGACAACATTGCAGTGTACAAACCGAGGAGGAAAATTTGACGTTTTCGATGCAGCCTACTGTGATGCTGCTTGAAAATTCTAGCCGCCCAAAACCAACTTGGGTAAAAACGATTTTTGGCTGGAAACCTTTAGGCTTGGTATTCATGGTTTCGGCCGTTTTCCTCGGTTTGTGGGAAATTCAAAATCTTTTCTAGTAGTTTGGCTTTGTGTTTGTGTGATTAGATCGAGCTCACTGGTGGTCCAACGAATTTCATCCAAATTTTTAGCTTTTCCGAGGACTTCTAAAGAGTATAGGTGTTGTAGCCGGGTACGTACGAATACTTTGAGCTACCACCTTGTCTCTGACGAGTCCTCGGAACCCATTAACACTTAATAGGGAACTTTTGGCGACCAAAATTGGTTTAGGGACCGTGCTTGGATAGGTATATCAATTCCATCCTTTTGGAAGTGCCTTCCAAGCAAACCAATCGATGTGGCAGAATGCTTTCATCGAAGTACTGTTTATGAAGTTCGAAGGACCACTACCGTGAGCTCGATCGTCGCATTCCAGAGTAGCAATGTTAGGTTTTAGATATAGAATATATTTTGAAAAAGAATTAGGTAGGTTGGTAGGAGCTAGGGCAGGAGCACATATGTGATTGGCAGGGAATGTGGTGGGAGTTTAAAGGTACTGAAAAGCCACCCTTTTTTATGATTTCGATCGAAACTGGTTTTTAAAATCGGTTTGGATTGAAATTAGGAAGAGAGGTGACTTTTCAGTACATTTAACGGGGCTTATCACATATGTGCTCCTTTTACCTTGTTAGTCAGCTAACTCCAAATTTGCAGTTCTCTTATATTGACTAGTTAGTTAGGGTGGTGGTATCACATTTCCAGGATTTTAATTTCAGAATGGGCCATTTATTAGCATAAAGTTTTCGGCAATATTTTAGTTTTCGAATATGTTAAAAAAAATTAAAGCTTTAAAAATTTGATAAAAATGGGAATATTTCCTTCTTTGAGCGTTCATTGCGTTGTTCTATTATTTTTGCTTTTATTTTTTATTTTCGTTTGCTTATTGTTATTTCTTTAATTTGATATTTATATAAAGAAGGTAATATTCCCAGGAGCAAAATTTACCGTTTTGAGTGCACAGGATTTTATACATTCTGGTAAATGGCCCATTTTGGGAACTGAAACTCCAAGAAATGTGATACCACCGTTAGAAGGCTTTTAAACAGTTAGGAGCTAGGAAAGGAGCACATATGTGATTGGCAGGGAATGTGGTGGGAGTTTAAATGTACTGAAAAGTCAACCCTTTTGATGATTTTGATCGAAATTGGTTTTGAAAATCGGTTTAGATCGAAATTAGGAAGAGAGGTGACTTTTCGGTACATTTAACGGGGCTTATCACATATGTGCTCCTTTCATCTCGTTAGTCAGCTGCCTCCAAATTTGCCGTTCTCTAATA